ACCAGTCGGAAAAGCAGGAAGATGACCTATGTGAATGTTTCGGACTCGTCCTCAGAGGTTTCTCCTTAGTATGAGCTTTCCGAAAGCTGAGGTTTGCCCGAGCAATTGACGACAGAGTCCACAAGACATGCACAGACTAGTTTTAGGTGATCATAGGGCGTATAAAATGTTATAGTAGTTACCGACGAGCCGCCAGAATATACCGACGAGTCTCCAGAATACACCAACAAGCTTCCAGAAAGTACCGATGAGCCTCCAGAACGCATCAATGAGCCTCCAGAAGGTACAGAAAGCACCCAGGTCCTGATCGAGTCGGAAAGCATAAGGCCACCGCCACATCAGACTGGGTTGCATTTGATTAGATTAGATTATCCTAAAGTCCTGCCTCTCCAGGGTCGTGCGACTGTCGCGGGACAGTCCCGAGACCGCAGACCGAGACCCCAAAGGCTGTCGCCCGACCGGCACAACACTGGTCCCATCCTCATGCGGACGAAAACACCCCCCAAATCGTGCGACGAAAACGACCGATTTTGGGGGTTTTCGGATGGGACCTCTGTCAGCATACGCAGGGGTCCTAAGTTACAAGTTCGCGCGCCGCAAGGGGCCACGTGGATCTACTCGAAAAGGAAAGTGAACAGGGGTTATTGCGGAATCCAGCTGAGGGACGGTCGTCGCAGCTGCGATCTGACTGCGTCGAACAAGTGTTTCACTTCTGTTCTCTCACTATTGGCGGGTGAAGGACCCAAGTAAGCTGTGAAGAGAGATGATGGTGAGTGAGGCGATGTCATCTCCCGTGTGTTCCTCTCGTCTTTTCTCAGCATGATATTCTCTCGCAACCTGCGCCAATCTCCCTGGCGACGGAACGGCGAGCTCGGACGCTCTCAGGATCTGTCCTTTCGGTTCCCTTCGCCCCACGACGAGCCTTTTCTCTTCGACTTTCATCTTCTAAACTTTCTCTGCTCTGCCCTACCCGCTGAGGTCGTGCATAGCTGGTTGCCTATGACGGCTTGTTTCATTCTTTGTTCAGACGCTCTTTAGTGCTTTAAAGTGCACACCATGCTGTCTCAATTGCTTTCTTTCGTCACCATTGCTCTTGCCGTCATTGCTCCCGCTGCGGCTTCACCTGCTTGTGCCAATGGTCAAACGTCCTCTTCTGCATGTTTCGACGCCTGCCGCGCGAAGATGGGATGGCCAGGGTATTACATGGCCTCGGATGCTTGGGGACCCATCGTCGTCCAAACGACCAGCGATATAGAGGCATGGGTTCAAGATGCTTGTGCTGATGTTACAGCAGCGGAGGCTGCTACGAATTCGTCGTGCGTGCCACCACTTTAAATTCGTTTCTTGAAAACAATCACTCACCTTTTGCAGATCCTCGAGCTCCAGTGCACCATACACATCCTCCACTACGAAGACATCGTCAAGCTCAATATGGACTGCTCCAACTCCAGCTTCATCGCTAGGGTCCACCTTGGCCCTCGGCACAAGTTCATCCGCAGTCTTGTCCACCCCCGTGTCCTCAAGTTCATTCATCCCGGATTCGTCCAGTTCCTTTATCCCTGATTCAAGCACCAGTGTCGCCTTCCCCACTTCATCTTCAGACTCTTCTTCAACTCCAGTTTTCACTTCAATGGGTCCTCCACTCTTCGCATCCCCTTCGTCATCCTGGGCCACTACGAGCTCATGGACCGTCTCCTCAGACTCAGTCGCCCCCACCCTTTCAGTTTCTATACCGGACCAGGCAGCGCCTTCCTCCCCTCCTCCTCCTCCTCCTCCCCCTCCAACATCCACTTTCGTAGCACAAGCCGCTGTCACATCAGCTTCAAGCTCGGCCGCAGAAGCTCCCGCTGCGGCTGTCGCCACGTCGGCTTCATCGTCTGGAACCTCCTCGGACACCATTACACAGTATTTGACGGCGCACAATACTGTTCGAGCTCAGCATGGAGCTTCGGATTTGACTTGGAGCGACGAGCTTGCGTCGGCTGCTCAGTCGTATTCAGCCAAGTGTGTGTTCCAGCACTCTGGTGGAACGTTGGGGCCCTTCGGAGGTATGTTCGACCAAGATTTTCATGCGAGCATACGGGACGTGGCCGGGTTACTTATGACTTTCATGGCCTCGTAGAAAACTTGGCTGCTGGGACAGGTGACTCATACGATATCGCTGCTGCAGTTAAGTCTTGGACCGATGAAGTTTGTAAGTTCTTCTTTTCTTTGCATCCTCTTATGAGTTGATGCTGGTATATCTATCTGACGGCTCCATATGTCGCTAGCTCAATATGACCCGAACAATCCTACCGCCTCCCACTTCACTCAGGTCGTCTGGAAAGCTACCACCCAGGTAGGATGTGCCGAGACAGACTGCGACGGGATATTCGCTGCTAGCTTCGGTGTACGTCCTTTCCGTCTACCTTCTGGTTTCTTTAAGGATGCGTACTGAAACATTGCATCGATCTATAGAAAGCGCACTTCCATGTCTGTGAATATCTGGTCCAAGGCAACGTTGTGGGCTCATTTCCGTACGCACTTTTATCTTCCTCATCTCTCCTTCGCTAACTCTCCCACTGACCCGATGCTGATCCCCCACTAAATCAGGCAAAACGTTCAAGTTTGAGTCCAATCCGCGCCATACCAGGTCATCCCTGTTTCCCAGTCCCAGCCCCTCCTACAACCGCCGACTCACGTCTCATCCCTAACCGTGCCTATCCGTCCGACAACGTATCCATGCTCCGTTCACCAGTGGCTCGTATGGTAACAGTGCGCAACTAACCCTACGTCCTTCGCCCCCGATCTTTTATATCTTGCTGGATTGACTCTGTACCTCTGTACTTGAGTATGGGTTTCTTCTTGTTAACTGTCACCGTGGCCTTCGGCTTTCAGGGAATTTGTTTGTTTGTTCGCCGTAATTTATCAGCTTTACTTCGTGATTCTATCTAGACCTCTTCTTCCTGATTCATTTGGTGGTATTATATTGTCTCGATGAATTTCACCCAAGTATAGTCTTCGACCACCGCTCTGTGTACATCACGCACACGCTCCTTGGGCGGTGATCTCGTGAGTTGCGCCGTGATGGGAGAGGGGGGGGGGGGGGGGCCGCCCACAGATCCCATCAATCCATATCAACATGCGCACGC